AAAAAATTATTTAAAAATATTTTTTATAAGTAAGTATGAAAATAATTTTATAAAAATATATTTAAAGATATAGAAAATATATTTGTAATTTAAAAAAATTTTTTACTTGATATTTATTGAATAAATGCCAGCAAAAAAAACTTAATTTTGATAAATTTCATAAATATCAACTAAATTTTTTTTAAATTATAAATATCTTTTCTATATCTTTAAATATATTTTTATAAAATTATTTTTATACTTACTTATATAAAATATTTTTAAATAATTTTTTACAGCTTCTTAATCAGAATAGCTTCCCAGCCTATCATCTTTAGCATGTTATTTCAAAAATAATATTATATTAATATGCTTTGTGATTTTATAAAATTTTATTTTCATTATTCTAAAGAATATAATGCCAAATATTTATGATATTTGAGTAATTTCTTGTTAAGATATTGATGAATTTTGATGAAAAAATATGATTTCCATTACTTTTTGTATTGATTGTACTAATTATATTAATAGAAAAAGAATTAAAAAAAATTTTACTAAGAATCTATCTATAATTAAATAACTTATTATATCAGATAATTTTTCTTAATATAAATTAGATAATTATAATATAATAAGTTATAGGTAATTGTAAACAGATTGTATCTCAATATAAAAATTAATAATTACTTCTAATAAAAATCATTCAAATTTAATCAATCTTTATAATTTTTTTATATTAAATAAAAACTGATTTAAATTAACTTTTTATACTATTTTAACTATTCTATTATACTTTAATTTAATAATAAATGAAGCATTACTTTTCTAAAAAAAAATTAAAATAAAATTATTTTTTTTAAAAAAAAGATATTTTAAATATTATTACTATCAATTGTAATATTAGAACTTCAAATTACACAAGCAGATTTTTCTAAATTTGATAAATATATATTCTAAATTTCATAAAAATTGAATTAGTAGTTATAAAGATATTAAGATTCAAAGTTGAGTAATTAAATTATTTACTATATAATTTTTATATTAATTTTAATTAATTTTTATATAGTAAAATTTAAGAAATAATAATTAAAAAAAGTTATTATTAGAAAAAAATTTTTTTATAAAAGATATATAACAAAAATTTTTATATTTAAATAAATCCGAATACCTAATAACTTAATTAAATAAGACAGAATTAAAATTTTATTTTGAAAAAATAATATTTAAAAGAAAATAATAAATAACTTAAAGAAATAAAATTATTTTAAACTTTTATAAAGTTGATAAATTATATCTGATTTTATATTTTATTTAATTTGATTATTTGGCTTATCCTACTATTTAATTTTTGTTATTATTCTTTATTTCGATTTATTTTTTTAATAAAATAATGTAGTTATTTGTTATTAAAGTACAGTATTTTGGCCATTTGGTACATTAGTTCGACCATTTCTGTGAAATATAATAGTTTTAGTTTTAGCCCAATATTCCAAAACAAAAACATGTATCCAATAATCAAATATACATAGATGCACACTTGAGTCTTATCAACAAGTCAAATAAAAATTAATGTTCAAAGCAATAAATTATGACCTCTTGGTAGCATTATCAACTTCGGGTTTGTCGCGTTTACCTGTAGATAGCTTGCGTCTCGTTATTAGATATTCTTGAAGATTAAACGGTGTTGGATATAAGAAATCTCGATCATTATTGAAACTCGTGATTTGGAAAATCTATTTCTTGCGCTGAATTCTATTCTTGCTATTAAAAAAGAATAAACTACATAGTCCCCTTTGTGCATAGCATAATTTCCTTTCGTCCCTTCCCCCTCAAATATTATATTAGATACTCGCCTTTAGCATCAACTGGCACAATCCCTTTAGAAATCTAGTAAAGCAACCCTCTTAATGTAATTACACAATTCATCATTGTAATATGACATGTAGGAATAACATGTAAAATGTTTATAATAAGGTAGTACAATTACGCACATGGGTGATCTTGGAAAAAGTTAAAGTTTTCGGTTGTACAGCAGACTAACCAAATACGGTTCAAAAAATTATATTAATTCATTGTTTTTATTCGATTGTAAGATCAATTATTATTTTCGTAGTTTCTCTGAGAACAAACATGCATAAATTAAAAGTTAAGCTATGCCTAAAAGGTATATCTATAAAAAGCAAAACTTCTAATTCGCTTTTGTAATGCTATTAACTACGAATCGTTTTGACTGTTATAAAAATAAAAAGAATCCAATCTAAAAAAGTTTCATTTTATCAACACAACATTAACAGATTTGGCTAAGGAATGATGCAATAAATCTATCACGTACATGTATATGTAATTAAAAAATTTCTTATGACGACGCTGCCTCATTTATTGTAATCCTTATAAAAGAAAAACTTCGCACTCTTCCAGCAGTCTATAAACTCACTTGATTAAAAATGCACACAAAATTTTCTGTGACCTTTTTCCTTATCTTTACGATTTTTCTTCTGGCTTCAACACAAGCAGATGAATTCAAACCACCCACCTATAATGGTAAATTCAAATACACAATAAACGAACCGACGCCGGGTCAAGAGTATAATAGCCCACAAAAGAGCATTACAATCGACTATACTTTTGAAAGAAAATTACCAAATGAAATCACTTTATTGGATATTTATATGCTAACTAGTAGGAATGAAACGATTAAAACTCTTATAAAGAATGCTAATACAACTGAAGGCAATCATCGTTTTACAGAAGATTTCCCGGATCAATTGCCGTGTGATACTTATATTATTAGATTCAATGAGGTATGTTACCCATTTTAGCGCTGTTCTTTTATTCATATATGTAATTAATGAATTTTCTGTATTAATAGACTAAAAATACCGGCATTTATTGGAGTACTGCATATTTGTTAACAGATATTCCAATAAAATATACATGTAATTAATAATATGTATCTTTATAATTTTTACGTATTTATATATGTAATTGCTTGTTAGTTCATGTTAATTAAATTCAAATTTGTTTTTTATTTTTTTATTAGTTAACATTTAATATCTCTTGTCAATTGTATTTTTTGAATGTCACTTTGATTTAACTAATGAACTTAATGATTAATAGAATTTTCATAGGAAGGTTTATCAGTTAAATGGAACACGAGTTTCATTTAAAAGAAAGCTAAATAATATTACATTGCAACAAAATTATCAAGAGCGTTATTATGAGAAAACTAACAATTGCATTACTAGATACTCAAAAATATATGCTTTGTTTTATGCTGATGTGAAAATAATTATTTAGCAAAGTAACTTTACGAAAGGATTAAAATGTCATGAAGTTAATTTTTATATATCGATATTATTTAATTTTGAGTCAAGTCTACTAATGCTTATCTTTTGACAAAAGAATTATAATCATAAGAAAAAAGTCAAAATTTCAGATTCGGATTAGTCAAAGTTTGCGAATAATTGTTCTAAAGATATGGCGAACTTTAAATGAACGAAAACTCGGATATATTCAGCCTTGATGTGGTCGTCCTTTAACTACCCCAAATATACATTACATCATTGAAAAAGAAAAAAGAATATACAACATTCCAGATATCCAGGCATCTTACTAACTTCTAAATTGAGCGTGACAGCATGAATTTTGTGGAATTTCGGTTGGTTCAGTTGTTACGAGACAGTAGGAATAATTATTTTAATGCTTTTCATAAAG